GCCTCTTGTTTAATTTTCAGGAATGTGTCAATATAATCTTTGAACAGGTCATCCAAGGTCTCGGGAAAGTGCCAGACTTCGTGAATCCGTACAATTTGATAACTTTTTTCCAACGCTTTCTCCAGCTCCACGCTACACCATGTACCCTGAATGGCTCTTTCACGGTCGGCATGGTCACAGGGAGTCTGGTTACAGGCATCGGCACAGGTTTTGCAAAGCGGAAACATCAACTTGCCTTGAGTGCGATAAGGAAGAACAGGGTGGAACAGACCTCGAGGCGGAAGCACGGTGCATTTGACCAGACCAAAATAGGTGGATATGTCGTCAAAGTTCTCAGTAATAATGCGTGGATGTCCCACAACCATTCGCGTCATTTTATTACACCAGGGATAAAGGCTTGGAAAATCCACATACCTAGAAATAATGTCATACATGACGTAGTAAAACATGACGTCATACATAACCTAAAAACATAATGTCAAAAATTTTTTCTCCCTACCTTATTTTCTCATCATCATTACATTCATGGTAAAGTCTCGACGCGTTGGTTCGTCCTCCATACAGAGCATCACGAGGTTCCAAGGGATCGACTCCATCATATTGTATAAAGTAATGTTTCATTTCTTCATTATCGGCCAATTCCCGATTGATTCTACATTCCCAAACTTCTACCACGTTGTAGCCTTGATTTTTCAAATACTGTATCTTTTCCACGGTTTTTTGATGAAGATCATGCATGGTTTTACCTTTGACAGGGTTTATTGTATCACGAGCGTAACAGTTTATACATCCTGTAATAAACAAAAATACTATTCTAAAATACTATTCTAAGGGCGTCTATTCAAGGGAGGCGTTTATTCAAACACTTACCATGCCAAAAACATCCATGGACTTCATAGGCCGTGCGGGTTTCTTCATGATAACCGTCCAGCAAATACGGACCAACACGTTTCTCTCCGCCGTTGCGAGCATGTTGTATGTAGATCTCGTTTTGTTCGGACGTATACGATAACCATTTTTGTGCAAGAAGGGACTGTTTGTTTTCGGGACAGTAGCCGCGCGGTGGAATGATGGCAATGGTGTTTTCACAAAGATAATTGGTCCGATACACTAGATTACATGCGGACGCGATAGTAAGGCATTTCTCAAAGGGATCGATTTTAGTAACGTCACGGAACAGTTCGCGAAATTCCAAGCAACAACGTCGTAGAATATCCACATCGTAGAATATCCACATCGGAACGACAATACGCAAGAATTTCCTCTTGGAAGTTAAACACGTAATCATTGTCTTTCAAATTCTTATGCCAACGTAAAAACGTTTCCTTCGCTGCAGGACTCATTCCGTTCGGATTGTAGTAGGGAGCTGGCGGAACCGGTCCCACATAATTTTCGTTTTCTTTCTTGTTGAAAAGATGCGGAAAGTACCCTTTTGCCAGCTCGTCTATGCCAAAGGTTTTTGGAAAATCTGCTAATCTCATCGGGATAAAGTTCAAGGAATCGATAAATTTGATCTTAAACATGTCCACAGATAAGGAAAGCACTTTGGCACCGCGCATGATGACACCGTACTTGACACCGTTTTCCCGTAAGTATTGCAAAATAAAGTAACTGTCGTACCCCTGGAAATTGTGAGCCATCATAATACAATTTGCCCGTTCCTTTTGAAATAACCATTCACAAAACTCGTTCCGTGTGTTATCCCCTTCAAATACCCATTCGTCACCGGCTTCGTTCTGAATCACGCATAAATTGGGTTCATGATTTCCATTTTCCTGACGACACTCGAAATAAAAAAATAACATTTGGTCGTACCCGCCTTCCGTAATATCATCCTCAGTGTGCTCGGACGAATCGTCACTGTCCGATAAATCTTCGTTTCGTTTTTCCACGGGTTGCATGTAACATCGATGGTCGCCAGGCCGAGTATACTCTTTACATATTGGGCACTTTGTCATACCGCAATGATGCGAATCTCTTTTATAGCGCTTGATAATTCTATGACACTCCGAGCACTTAACCATCGTCGCACAGATCGATTTTTCACTTGACTGTTTATGTCGATCAAAACATGCTTGACTTTTGAACATTCGGTTACAGTCATTGCAGCGAACCCAGACTCAACGGGACAGTCGGGAAAACGACAACATGGACAAGCATTCGGGCATAGGTGATCTTCTCGATGATCATAAGCTTTCTTGCATGTATGGCAATACTTTTTACGAGCAAAAAACCCCGGCATCTTGGTAATGATGTCGTAATGATTATCGTGAAGGTACAGATAAATTCTCTTCTCTTGATCGGGACCAATATAAATAAGAGCGTTCTGATGATCTTTGGACACAATATTAATTTGATAATCGGAAAGGTACGTCGAAACTGTTTTACTTCATTAAGTCCACAGGGACCCAAAGGGACGGCAGCTTTTTGATGTAATTCACGAGCCAAACGGGTTTGCATAGCCCTCCGATGATCAACAATGCCCGTATACTGGGGATCGTTATCAATTTTGGCTTTCGCAACGACCAGGGCCCTCGCCAAACAAAGTTGATCATTGTTCCGGATCCGTATGATTGAGCATTTCTTCATCAAATGCTTTTCCAAATTAATTTCGGCCTGTTTCGTACCTGTACCGCCACGAGGCATTTCCACATGAACAACATTGACATCCACACTATCATTGAGATGAAAATGGCGATTGGACTGAATCACACGTTCAAACTCTGCCAACACACGTTCCGTTGTGAGACGCTGACGAGGCATAAACGGAAATGAAATAGGATTTTCCAGTTGCGGTGAATGCAAGACAAAACGCACTTGGTCATGAGGAGGAACGCCCTGCGTAACTTCATCAAGCAAACCTTGAAATATTTCGTGCAGCCTTTCGTGATATTCGGAAAGCTCCACATTCGCAAAGGCATTCGAAACGAGCTCTCATTTCAGAGATAATGTGGTTTAAAATCAGTGTATTGAATTATGCCGTTACTTGGCGCGTGCGAATTCTGAACCTTCATGACAGGGATTTGAAAAGCTTCTAAAATACACTTTATCGCTTCATATATCCCCATAAAATTTTTAAATCAATAAAGCACATCATAAAACTAATGTACGCTCATTTTCTATGAAGTACTCATCGATTACCTGAAGGAAAAGTTTAAAATAGGTCAGGAGAGCAGTTTACAAAATGCCGTTCTCCTCTGAAATGGCTTCTTTTGCGGGAAGCCATTAAATTTATGTACTTTCCAAAATTGTAATTTAGTCGCTTTTTTCGTCTCATTGTTCACTTATTTATCATGGAATTACTTCGCTTGAGCTCTTTTAATAATATCTGCAAGATACTTTGCTAATTTGGTGAAATAAAAGCTATATTTTTAGCAGTTTATCTTTTGAAAACTGCATGCGCAACAAACTGTCACCAATGTGTTTACTCTCGTCTGACAAACAACCAAAGATGAAATACTTTATTTCACTCTTTTATAGCGATCTAAAATGCCTAAATATTAGATTATTCATTTTATTTGAGCATACATATTATATTTTTATACAATTGGTCCTTGAAAAGGACTTATTTCAAGCTAGAGTCAGATTTCAAACTAGAGTCAGATTTCAAAAGAAACCGCCTGTCTGACATTTTACAGCAAACCTACATTGGCGCACACGACGTTTTAGCCACAAATCCGTTGTTTTCTCAACAGAAACAAAGGAATTTCAGTTAAAATTCTTACCTGATGAATATTCAAAAGTGTTTATCTCTTTTTGACGACTTTCAGTGCTCTTAATAGCGAAATAAAAAGCCTTTTGTTTTGTCACCGCACGCTGCATTTGAAAATGCCGGCTGTCAAAGTCAGAATTGAAAACACCTCAAATATTTAAAAATTTTCTCACCTTTTTCATCCTTTGTTTATATTTTAATTAGTAATTTTTGTACTTCGTGTTTTTCCAAACATATTTGAGCTATTTAAAAACTTCAAAGAGGTACAAACACTGTATTTTTGGGTTACAGAGTTTTTGGACTTGAACAACAAGTTCTGAAGTTCAAGTTCTCCATTGTAAACTAGATGTCCTGAGTGTGCCTGAGCTATGCCCAAGCAAATTTTTATAGTGTTTCATTATTTTGTAATTTATACCCTACAAGATGAAAACTAATTTGAAAATAAATGTGTACCAATCCAGGAATCAAAAAATATTTCTCCATTTATGTTGGGTTATTGAATTATTGCCCTTCAGATGTTGGGTGTCATGAAGAAGCAAAATGTCAGAGACTTAAATTTACACAAACCAAGAATTCTCACCCAAAAATCTAATGATATATTTAAGTGTGGGAGCTCATTTAAAATAGAATTGATTAATAATTTATCATTTTAACCCACTGCAAAATTTCAAGGTTTTTTATAACATTGATCTTGAGATATGGGTATTTTTGTAAAAGCAGTTGACAGAAGTTGACAGTAACTAAAATTCGCCATTTTCCTTGCAACTTGGGGAGTGCCAATGTTGCAACAGTCTGCAACTTAATGAGTTAAAATTATTTAAAATGGTTAACAAGTGAAATGTAAGACTGTATATTAGTAAAATAATAGACAAAATTCAGAAACGAAATATAAATATAATCAAGAACCCAATTTCAATTATAGGAATTTTAGGTGTTTTAAGATCTAATGGACAACCTGCATGTTAGACCAAATTTTATAACCCTAGGAAAGAGAAGGGAATCAAATACCACAGCTAAAAGAAACATAATGAAATTAGCCAAATCGCAAAATTCGGCCGCAAAATGTTGCAAACCCTGGTAAACACAGTCCTTCAAAGTTTGCAAACCTTGCATATGTTTGTATTATGTGCGGAAATTGTTAGCATTTTCGGCAAATACAATATTGTAACATATACAAAACATGCATGCAAACCCTGCAAGGCTACACCTTCCATATTCTACAACATTTCGCACTAACCAAACTTTGCATTTTCACCAGTTTTAACGAGTTCTTTATGGGAAGTTACTTTTTTACCTAGATCAAAAATCAGTCTAACACGCAAGTTGTTTATTGTGTCCTGGAGATAAGATGTACTCAGTACCATTTGGTCAAGACCAATTTCTTATTGCTGCCGCAGCGAGCGAGCATTAAGCGAGCGAGCAAGGCAGCAGACTAAAATCGTACAGCTGTTCAAAATCTCAATCTTGCTAGAGCCGCAAAGCATGTTGGTTGAAAGTCATTTTACCAACATGCAACGCGTGCGGCTATATAAACGAGCCATGCGAGCACGTGTTGTCTTTTTCTCAAGAGTTCAGAGTTGGACTAAAGTGGACAAACAAAGGTTAGTATAAACTGAATTTTATGGCTTTAATATTTCGTTATTTGCATATAGTAAACATCACATAGTAAACATTATTAACATATTCGATCGGCATATTGTTTTTATTGATCGGCATACTGTTTTTATTAAGTCACAGCTTCGAGAGTTCAGAGTTGGACTAAAGTGGACAAACAAAGGTTATATTGTTTTTATTGATCGGCATACTGTAAGACAAACAAAGGTTAGTATAAACTGAATTTTATGCCTTTAATATTTCGTTATTTGCATATAGTAAACATCACATAGTAAACATTATTAACATATTCGATCGGCATATTGTTTTTATTGATCGGCATACTGTTTTTATTAAGTCACAGCTTCGAGAGTTCAGAGTTGGACTAAAGTGGACAAACAAAGGTTATATTGTTTTTATTGATCGGCATACTGTAAGACAAACAAAGGTTAGTATAAACTGAATTTTATGCCTTTAATATTTCGTTATTTGCATATAGTATACATCACATAGTAAACATTATTAACATATTCGATCGGCATATTGTTTTTATTGATCGGCATACTGTTTTTATTAAGTCACAGCTTCGAGAGTTCAGAGTTGGACTAAAGTGGACAAACAAAGGTTATATTGTTTTTATAGATCGGCATACTGTAAGACAAACAAAGGTTAGTATAAACTGAATTTTATGCCTTTAATATTTCGTTATTTGCATATAGTAAACATCACATAGTAAACATTATTAACATATTCGATCGGCATATTGTTTTTATTGATCGGCATACTGTTTTTATTAAGTCACAGCTTCGAGAGTTCAGAGTTGGACTAAAGTGGACAAACAAAGGTTAGTATAAACTGAATTTTATGCCTTTAATATTTCGTTATTTGCATATAGTAAACCTCACATAGTAAACATTATTAACATATTCGATCGGCATATTGTTTTTATTGATCAGCATACTGTTTTTATTAAGTCACAGCTTTTCAATTTTACTGTTTTGTAGTTTAGGCTTCAAATTTTGTATTTGCATATTTGATAAATTTCGTATATGCGATAACACATATACATTTTGAACCCACAGTATTTTAAAACGTTTTTGGCGTGTTTCTTGCGCCACGTTTCTGGTGTTTTCTCTGGCGCTTTATGGTGTATTCGACAGTATTAGTATTTTAAAACTTTTTGGCGTGTTTTTTTATACGCCTCGTTTCTGGTGTATTCACGCCTCGATTCTCTGGTGTATACTCACGCCTCGACTGTCTGTGTGGTGTTGACAACTACTCGTTTATTAATACTGATCCACTTGTGTTTTACTTGAATTGAATGCTTAATGCTTGCAATGTCTGTGTCAAATGAATTGAGTAACAGTTTTTACTTCACACATATTGATGAGAAATGTCAAGATTTCATGTGTTGCCTCCTTGATTTACCATTGATTGTAAAAGATAAATCATCTCAGGAAACAAAGATACTGGAATATCCTTCTAAACTATACAATATAGTAGGTGATGGTAATTGTCTATTTCGTGCATTGTCATATGCTGTAACAGGACGACAAGTTTATCACAAACAAATCAGACAAAAAATAGTTAATCACATGAGGGAAATAGAAGATTCATTACGACCACATATAAATATGAGCGTAGATATGTATTTAGCTCAGAGTAAAATGGAAAATGAAGGTGTTTGGGGAACAGATATTGAACTGTTAGCAGCTGCATCATTGCTAGACACAGATATCTATGTTTATACACAAGTTAGTAGTTTGTATAAGTGGCACAAATTTTCTAAATCTATGCTAGGTGGCTCTTGCCCAAAAAATGTTGGTGCAATTTACATCCATCATAGCAATGGTGTACATTATGATATTGTTCTTGATGTAAGTGCAGGCACAAGTGATTCAAGTGAAAACAGCAAAATAAATTATTTGGCTAATGGAAATATTTTTGTACCAGACCTTTCATTTCAAAATCAAACTGATCAAATGCAATCAGAAAGCCATAAATATTTCAGGCCCATTAGTGAAGAGTCTCAAAAATTCATGTGTTTGTTACTTAGTTTGCCACTTGTTGTTAAACACAAATTTACTTCTGAAAAAGCTCTGCATTTGCCTTTTCGTGTTCAAAATATAGTAGGTGATGGTAATTGTCTATTTTGTGCATTGTCATATGCTATAATAGGACGACAAGTTTATCACAAACAAATCAGACAAAAAATAGTTAATCACATGAGGGAAATAGAAGATTCATTACGACCACATATAAATATGAGTGTAGATATGTATTTAGCTCAGAGTAAAATGGAAAATGAAGGTGTTTGGGGAACAGATATTGAACTGTTAGCAGCTGCATCATTGCTAGACACAGATATCTATGTTTATACACAAGTTGGTAGTTTGTATAAGTGGCACAAATTTTCTAAATCTATGCTAGGTGG